AAAATTTAGTACAGTACACCTTTAGATTATACTTTTGTTCAGAAGCACCCCATACCCTCACCTCTTGAATTAATTGTTGCAGTGACCTTTGTTTTTCTTCAGGATGATCTTCAGGTGATGAGTGACTGTGGTAATGCTCTGGAACTCTAAGAGGCATGGACACTTTAGATCCATTTTGACATTTGTAAAGGTCATGACTAGGGAGATTATAAATATTATAAAGATAAATAGATATCTTTTCTTTATTTAATGGAAGAATATTTTCATAGATTTCATAGACATTAGGGGCTTGAAGGGACCTTGCAAGATCAACAAGTCCAGCCCCTCTACCATAGGCAGGAAGTCTTCTGGGGTCAAATGATCCCAACAAGATAAACATCCAGACGCCTTTTGAATGAGTCCAGAGTAGGTGTTTGCATCACCTCTGGGGGCAGTCTGTTCCAGATCCTGGACACACGGACTGCAAAGAAGTTTTTTTTTATGTCCAGTACAAATTGGCCTTCCAGGAGTTGGTGGCTATTAGACCTTGTTATCCCTTGGGGAGTCCTGGTGAACAACTGTTCTCCCAGGTCCTGATGCACCCGCTTTATATACTTACAGGCTTCCACCAAGTCCCCCCTGAGCCTTCTCTTCTCTAGGCTGAACAGTCCAAAGTCCCTCAGCCTCTCCTCGTAAGGCTTACACTCTTGGCCTTTGATCATGCGGGTGGCTCTATTTTGGAGGCTCTCAAGCTTATCCTTGTCCATCCTGAAGTGGGGGGCCCAGAACTGGATGCGGTACTCCAGCTGTGGCCTCTGTAAGGCCAGGGAGGATGACATCCCTGGTTTTGCTTGAGATGCATTGGTGGATGCATGCCAGAGTTTGGTTTGCTTTGCCAGCCATGGCATAGTGTTGGTGGCTTATGCTCATCTTGTGGTCAGTTCTCATTTCAGTTCAAACAAATAGCTGATTTCCATTTTAAAAAGTCAAATGTATACCCTCAGTTCAGTTACTACATAATAATTATAACTTGTCCAAAAGAACTACCACTGATAATTTTCTCCTTGAACCTATACTGAACATTGTCTGAGGCTTGTTTAGATTTCTGTCTTGTATTCATTTTCATTATTTACTCACCGGTGTACATTTGTGTTCTGGATTAGGGCAGAAGTGGAAGATCTGAAACCTTGCATGAAATACTTAATTATTTTCTATGTGAAAATATAGAATAGTCATTTTTTTACATTGCTCTTGCCTCCAGAACAGGTATGTGTCCAGTGCAAAAGCCCAGATCTGAAACCCAAGAATTATAGGGAAAAGTTTGAGATCTGGATCTGAATTATGCAAATAATTAATACTTTTATAATTGATGAAGCCTAACTACATCATAGTGACTCCATAAACCTGGCGGGTTTTGGGTGGAAATGCAAGGTATAATTTAAGGCCTAAATATCTGGGTCTGTGCAATCTGAGAAACTTTCTTCTGCATGCTGTTCAGGTATTATGGAGATTAATGGGATTCCTTAGTACAGAAGGAAGGGTGATGTTAATAGGGAGTTTTCCATGTGAGCCCCTCCATTATTGCATGAACTTGCCATGTTTGCTCCCCCAAGTCCCAAATGTATTAAATCTATTGCCAAACTATTAAAAAATGAGTTTCCACTTGGAAGATGGAGATTGGATAGCCTTTTGCATAGGTACAAGGTGATTATGTTTTGGAGCTGCATTTGTTTAGGAATGAGAAGGCTGGTAAATGTAAACTGCACAAAATGATCTTGTCTGTATATTGTGAAGTTTCAATTCTGTAAAAGAAACCTGGAGTTTGTGATTCACTGCTTACCGTTAATTGATTTTTAAAAGAAGAAATCTTTATTATTTAAATAAAGCCTCCAACTGAATGCTGTGGTTCTTGATCTAGATGTGAATTTGGCAGCTTGCTTGCCTCTGCTACAATGGCAAACAGTGGCAGAAAGCAGCAATATTTTTTTCCCTCTCTTGTCTCTTTAACTAACAGTTAATCCAGCTCTGTCTCTCAAATATCTCCTCAATGATCAGGAGTTCTTAACTGCTCACATTTTTCATTCTTCCCCATCACCTGAGAAGGCTTGTCCTCTGTTAAGCCAAGCAGAGTTTCCAGTTAAAACAAAATAAAACAAAGCAAATCCCTTATTTCTTCCTGCCAGTTCTGTTTAATTTTTGTCTAGTTACAAAATTGGCTTTCTAGTTAAATTATAAGTGGAAAAACTGGTTTTGCTTTCCACAGTGTTGCAGTGCCAACCTCTCAGAAACAGCACAGTTAGAAATGGTAAAGACCTTTGAGGTCATCTAATAAGTGCCACTGCCAAAGCAGCATTGTTCCTTGTAGTATATTTCCCAGTGCTTTATCTAGTCTCATTTTAAAAGTCTCCATTAATGGGGCATCCATCATGTGTTGAACATTATACCGT